CGATTCAGTTCCTTATTCGCTTCGCAATCGACCTGAGTTGAAACAGCTGCACTTAAAGTCTGTACGTGCAGAAAAATCTTTTTTCCCTTATACAACTTCTATGTGGAATTCATTGCCCGATACTGTAAAACTGAATTGCTTCAGAAAACAGAAGTTTAAGACTGAACGGAGAATCTATTATAATATTAATATATTTCATTATTGAATGTATGGTATTGATCGAATAGCAGATATCTCCTTCAATCGTTTGCGTGTGGATTTTCCACCACTAAATGCAAACTTATATACTAAAAAACTTAGTCTCACTAATCTTTGTTGTGATCTCTTGACATAGCTATATTTCTCGACCCATTTTGGATCATCTAGTCGACACAAAAGAGCATTCTACTAAAACGTTCTATAAAATTGGAAATTTAAACACATAATTTCTAAACTAAGAAGTTTTCTAATTGTTCAAAAGAAAGCAGTATAAAATGAGAGAACAAGAGTAAGAAAGCATATGGATTTAGTTTGAAATCCTTTGCTGGTTATTGTTGTGCTTTCAATAACTCCATTGGGTCGTGATAACGAAAAATATTCCATATATGGTGCATACTTTGAAGATGAATTCATAGCTTCATCAAGAAAGATCATGTCCGAAAGAATATCACCCCAAACAGGCACAAATTTCATGCTCCAGCCGGCAGCTTGTATCAGTACTCGTCTATTTGTCTGTGGAACGTAATCAAGTAAAAATCGATTATCAGGCAGAAATGTAGCTAAACATGTTTGGTTACTAAAATAATAATCTGATATATTGACTTGCGTTCCCATGTTACCTGAAACCCATTCGATTACTTTCTGTGTGAGAAAGACATCAATTGTATTTGTTCGTTGCGACGGATATATTAATGGTTTAGATAAATTTCTTATGAAGCGTGGCGAAATAGCAATATAATTGGATGAGAGTGAAGTGATGGGAAAGCTGGCAAAGAGGGATTGCAAATCGTTACCATCCCATGCAAGCCATGTAGGTAATTGAGTGGCATTTGGAGAAAGACGAAAATAGTAAATGGAAGTTCCCACAATGTAATATTGAGATCAAAATTAAGTAAATGAGATATGTTTTTGGCATAAGGACCGGGAACAAAGAGAACTTTTCGAGACGCATAATATATACCACGATTGGTAACAATCTCTGTTTGATTATTTAATTTCAATGATAAAAATTCTGTCTGTTCTCGAATGAAAACATTTGAATTTCGAGAAAGAATACGAAGGAGAGTCGTCATGAGTGTATTAACATTGATGTAGCCTGATTGCTGATGAAAAATACCTTGATATTGAGGAGGAAACGAGAATGTTGGATAGCGCATGTGTAATTGTGTACTATTCAAAAATTCACAACCCATTTGACGTTTTTCACATGTTTGTTTAATCGATCGGAAATCACCTTCGACTGTTGATTGATTAGCATTAAAACCTCCACCTACGATGATTGCATCGAATGTTGTATTTGCATTTTCTGTAATGGCTATAGCCCCTCGTATTGCCGATGAGAGAGCACCTTCGATCATTCCACGTACTAAACTTGTATGCTCACCAATAAAATGCATATTCGAAATGGGTGATTGTAATTCAATAATTTCAGGCGGTGATGGAATGGGAGTAGTAAAAGCTCCACGTTCATAAGGATCTACACACCAATGTTTGATTTTTCCGCCTTGAAAATAGTCACGAATATTCGGTGAATTTTTATGAATTTTAATCAATAGTTTCAATGCTAATTAGCCTCTGCTTCAGAGAAAGATTGCCAGATCATCGAATCTTGTTCACCAGTGTATGATGCAAGAATAGTTCCACCATCCGTTTGATTACTATTCGTACTTGGATAATAAACATTACGAATAAGCAAATCGGTTAGCAATGAACCTCCAGTGATATTTTCTTGAGTG